TACGCACATATTGTTGATACAAATTACTGACCTATGTGCATATTTATCCGCGACAACTTTGCGTCATGAGAAGGTACAAAATAAGATTGCAAAATGTAGTCTTAAGCAATAAGCGTTTCTTTTTATTATTATTAATTTTATAAGTGATACATCCATATTTTACAGGTATTGTTAAAGTGATTATTAATGGTGTTTCTGTATTTTACTGTGTCTTGAATTGTTTCTATCCTTATCTTCGTCTTTAACTTTTCTTTTTCTATTATAACGATCCTTATCTTTACCATATTTAGCATCGCAGTTCACCTCCTTATAAGTGTGTTTGTCATAATTCTGTTTTCTTTTATGTTTGTAAGCCTTGTTAATATGTTTCTCTTTAGAATCAGCTTTTTTCCTTTTCTTCCTGTTCTTCTTGGAATGGAAATCTTCCGAGTCGATGCTGCTGCTGCTACTACTATCACTATCACTATCACTATCACTACTACTACTACTACTAGTATTACTGCTAGTATCGCTAGATTTTTTATTACTGCTCTTCTTTTTCACTTTTCTTTTTTCTTTTTTACGATTTTTCCTCTCTAGCAGCTTTAATTTCCTGTAATTATAGGAGTAAACAATTTTCTTACTTACAATTCTCAATTCTCAAATATCCTTCATCAATAGTAAGAGATTACATCACAATATTATATAGTTAAATTAACTTACAATAATAATCTCTTCTTTTCCTTCTTTGACAAAGATTTTAGAAATGACAGTTCAGACTGTTCCTCGTCTTCCGAGACAATAAGATGATCATGGTCTGGAACTCGTAAATGTTGTTGCGCATCTAATGCAGATCTATAATATAAAAAAGACAATAGGCTAAAGTTTATTTATACCAATATTAATTTATTTCTTAGTTTATATTATTTATTTAACAAAACCTACTTAAACTTATCTGTATAAAACGTATGTACACATGTAACACACATAATACATATGAAAAACCAATATTTTTAAAACTTACTTTTTCAGAGCTAGACCATCTTCTCGCATCTGTTGCACGAGCGTCATAGTATCTGGGGCAGATGGTGTTTGCGAATTATTATTTGCCATTACAACGCTCATCGCTTGACTGTACAAGGGGCATTCCTTATCTAAAAATATTCGATTATCAACATTTGTTTTTCACTATGTGTTTGATACCATCACCACACTAGATAAATCTTTAGGATACCTGTATTTATGTGTCCCCATTTATGGCATTTGATACATCGTACATTCCTTACTTGTATACCAAAGGGTTGATCTCGAATTTCGCTATCTCCCTTGCAGTAGCTTTCTCTTGGAGCATTGTACTTCCGCTGCCATTCAAACTTGTATTCAGGCTCATTGTCTTCCTTCTCCCGTTCTTTCTTTGCTCCAGGAGGTGGTTCATACATAAAATTGACACTAAGTTTATCCTTACTCTCTTTGCTGAGCAGCGCCCTGAAAGAAACATTACATTAAAAACGAAAGTGCTCGTTACATGACATTTTAAAGTTACCTACTTATTATTATGAAGATCTTGTTCCTTCTCGTATTGTACTCGCAACTCCTCTTGCTTTTTCTTGTAAGCCTCTGCTTGCTGTTCCGCCATCCATACCTGATACAGTAACATGCATTTAACGTAAGAATATGACTTTTCTTTAAAATTACGACAAGAGAATAAAAATTATGCTGTTATCGTAAAGAGAGGTTAGGCCACACATTCGTACTCGCTTCAAATTGTCTCGCGACGCCGGATGGAAGAACTTTTTGCACATGTAATTGTTAAATCCCTTTCCCATCTCAACAAATTCGTCCTTGCAATTTCAAACAGCAATTTTACAAAAATAATCACAGTACGAGTATGTACGCTGGTCAGTAATTGCTTGCTATTACGCACAGAACATATACTAAGAGAAGCGCAAGCTGAAAGCTCATAGCTCTACGGTGGAAACATGAAACGACGCGCGACCGACACGACCCCTATCGGGTTGGCCCTGGTACTACGTTCTATATCTGTGGCCGTATTCCGAATACGGCTTATATAACCTATTAGAAATTAGCCCCCCACTTTTAGAATTAACATATTTTCACGGTTGTGCTGAATTGTGCTAGGTTTGTGCTATATTGTGCTCGAATATTATAACCATAATATGAAAAATACGAAAGAAAATTTAAAAAAACGAATTTTTAGATCAGCCCCCCACTTTTCGTTTTTTTCAATTTTTTCGATTGTGCTGAGTTGTGCTAAGTTGTGCTAACATTGTGCTAAAATATTATTTAAAAAAAATAATAACAGAAAGAGTTACGATAAAAAAATAAATTATATCCAAAAATGATTTTTTTATCGAATGACCTTTAAGATGCCTTTTCATGCTGACGCTCGACGCTCATTTTCAGCGGCAAGAAGGTCGCATGACCACAATTGACGCCGGCGTCAATTGAAATTCATGAAAAGGAAAACAGCGTCAAAATTTCGGCGTCTTCGCGCTGCTTTGGCTTTGACGCTTGAAGTTGGAAAAATCCAACTTCTCTTTCTTGCTTGACGCTGGCATCATAGTGATGTCACGTGACGTCGCTCAACGCTGTTTTTCAGCGTCCCATGAATTGGCACCTTTTTTTGCGTTTATCTTGAGCACGGTCTTACACACAGGTCTGGAAACTCAGACCGATTTTGGTGGTGGGGGATGGTCGTTTTAGCCATGGTATAAATACAAGGGTATGCTCATACCGTGTCAGACCACTGCGCATTCCCACCACTTTTGTCTAAGCTTACGTCATACTCGTGTAACATCGGAATGGATCGGATGTACTCGGTGATTCGCAATGGCTGCGTTCGCTCGGTTCGCTATTTATGTCGAGTAATTCGTTTGTGATTATTACAGTGTACGCAATGACGTGTAATGTGAAAGGGTGTGGGAACTATCTGGCAAAGACCAGAAAGATCGAAGGAAATAAAATAAAATATTTTTCCTTCCCAAAGGATGCAGCACTGTGTAATAAGTGGCGTCAAGCATGCGGAAAAGAAAATATTTCACCAAAATATGGTATGTACTTTTGTATAGTAATAGTTGCTTTCCATTTACACTCAAGTGATCTGAGTCACTCAGATATGTGAGTATTTTTATACTCAGGTAAGATATGTCATTTTGTATTTACCTGCTTATTTTGGTGACAAAGCTATCGCATAATAATAATACAGGTCCATAGCCTCACTTTTAATGTGAGTTTATTAGATTCATTAAAGCACATGGTCTCTGTTGAGGACGATTAGTTTTCGCGCTTCTCGAACTTTCGCGATCGGAATGCTGACACGAGGTCGGCACGAGGCGGGCCGGGATAGGCCAAACCACCCCTCTCTTATCACCTGTGCTCCTGCTCCGAATTCTGTCGCGGATATCAGCTACCGGCGTCGAGTGTGTATCGTCTTCAGAATAAATGCGACTTTCATACATAACGGTTTGATTTCTCTGTGCTACCCTATCTCTCGCAACCGTGCGTTCCCAGATTATCGCAACAGTCTCGATTGTGGATAAAAACTCAGCTGAATCTCACTTGCCAGCATGCAAAAGGAACGTGCATTTAACTGAGTTATGACGTCACAAGTGAGAATTATCTGAGTTTTGATGTAAATGGAAAGCAACTAATATTGTACCACAGATTTCTCTTGTTTATTATTATAAGCATATATTTAAGAACTTTAAACCTTGTTTGCTTCAGCTAGGATATGTTCGAAGCATTTTGCTGATGAAGCTTTTACGAAGCCCTTACAAGAACATCTACTAGGTTATTCACCTACACGAACTAGGAAGATACATCCTGATGCTATCCCGACGTTGCATCTCCATGCAGTACCTCCACTAACATCAAACGAAAATGTGTTAGCTGAAACAATGCCTTTGCCTGTATCAAATGAAGTTTCGATGGATGTTGAACAGACACCAGCATCGTCCAGTATAGAAGAACAGACACCAGCATCGTCCAGTACAGAAGAACACACAGCAGCATCGTCCAGTACAGAAGAACAGACACCAGCATCGTCCAGTACAGAAAAACAGATAATATTAGCGAGGCTATCGAAGAAGAGGGTTTAAAATATATAGCCGGATACTTAGCATTTAGATTTAAAAGCACAGATAAAATATTAGGTATTGAAACGCGCCAATTGGAAACAACGGGTGACCAAGATTGGCTGCAAGTTATTTCGCGAGGAAAATGTATGTATCCGAGTGACAAATTATTACAATGTGCTCGTATAATGAATATTGAGTTTGCTAAATATCACGGATCCAGTTTGAATAAAGAAAATCTTATATTTCAAAACTTAGCAAAAATAATAGAACCACAATTGAAAATTAAAATCCTGAGAGAGGCATTATGCCTCATTAGGACTAGGACATATATTAGGCTGCGCGAAATGAACCGAGCGATTGCAATCGCAAATCACAGGCAAAAAAAAAGAAAGATGTCAAAATTTACTAATAAAAAACCTGTATATTAAATATCTGCATTTATTGTTATTTGATCTTTTATCTGCATCTTTCCTCTGCATATTTAGTTTTTTATGTCGTACGCCACAATATATTTTTGTTTTGCGTCTCAGCTGACAATTCTTTTCCAATCGTTTTCCGACCAGTTTTGATTAAAACTAATAATTCGCAGAATTTTAATAATAAATGACTGGAAATTAAAATCTCGTTTTATGTGAAATTTTTCGGTACGTCGCAATGACTTTTATTCAATGCACACAATTCTTTTTTTCTTAATAATAATAATAATATTTTCTGTAATATCATATATTTAGACAAACCCACATAAAATAATTATAAAATTCGTCAAATAACAATAACGTTTCTAACATCTACAACGAGAGACAAATTCGGGAAACGATGAGCGTTTATCCGTATGTCACGTGCGTTTTTTATATTTATATATTTTCGTTCATATATATTTATTTATTTATAAAACAGAATTTTCTCTCACATAAATGATCAACATTATTTTGTATTCATATATTGTCCGCTCAAAATGCTTTTATAAAAGACTATTACAGATTCGCTGCTTAAATGTGCCGCTCAGTGTGACGTAAGCTTAGACAAGTCACTGATTGGCTGGGTTCGGAAATATGCGCAAGAGCATACCCTTGTATTTATACCATGGTTTTAGCAAGGAACAATTTATTTCACGGCGTTGTCACCATGCATCGCTGTCATCGCGAAGTGTAGATGGTAACCCATGGTAACGTGACAACAATCTTTTAATTGCGCTTAATTCAAGTGCATTTTTGAAAATGACATTTCATGACATTTTTTGATGACATTTCTTTGAGCACATTTCTAAGTTTAAAGACTTTTTTCAGTTCTTGAGGACATGGACAGCGACATGGATTGAAAATAACATCTTTCTTCTGTAAATCTTTTTTTATATGACATTTTCTTTCTTTAAATAACTGTCACAGTAAAAAGGTTGGTATCGACCTTAATTGTGTGTACAACTGCATTGATATTTCTTGAAATGAGAATGTAAATATTGTGAATATACTTGTAAATTAACTATGGATTTTCAAAACGGGTTATTATTTACTTCATTATTTACTTCCTAAAGACTCATAGCCTTCAACTTTTTAATTAATCTTATAAAACCGAGGCATACATAAGGTAAGAATCAGAATTAATACAAGTCGACGGCGCTCATACCGCGTCATCTTTAAATAGTGTAAATTAAGAATAAATTATCAATTTATTAATTTGCGCATTCATATAATAAAAGATTTCAATCGTTTTTTCTTAATACAAAGTTATTTATTATTCCTTTCCTCATTTAGAACTTCAATTATTGCCTATCTGACACTCACGATTTTGAATTTACTAATTACTATTTCCGTCTTTGTCCCACCACATAGTACACTGACCGATGGCAGCGACTCTTGCGGTCAAAAAGCGAGTTATTTTCTTCGTCGCTAAGACGACCATCCCCCACCACTAGAGTTTCCAGACCTGTGTGTAAGACCGTGATCTTGACGCTTTCAGCGCTGAAAGCATCGGTCTATCTTCGTTTGATGTTCGATGTGCAACAAAGATAGACTGATGCTTACAGCGCTGACAGCGTCAAAACAAACCCACCCTTAAAATTACGAAGTACAATATCTTCCTAAAAAGGATA